TCCAGTGCATTTCCCTCCCCTCACTGTGTTTGATCCCATTCCCCACTCCACCCCCATAAAAAGTCTCTGGTATATAGCTGTTCATCATTATTATTGTTCTTTTCCCGCCTGGTCTGTAATACTCCTGCTATGAGCAAAACCATCCGGTATTTTTCCTTTTCTTTCTGGCTTATTTCACTAAGCATGATCTTCTCCAGCTCCATCCATGTTGCTGCAAAAGGCATGTGTTTTTTTTTTTTTTTTTTTTTTTTTTTTTTGGTGGTTAAGTAATATTCCATTGTGTATATGTACCACATCTTTTTAATCCAGTCATCCATTTTTGGGCATTTGGATTGTTTCCATGTCTTTCCAATTGTAAATAAGGCAGCAATAAACATGGGGGTGGACGTATCTTTTTGATTAAGTGCAAAAACCCTTGTTTTTAATTCCTTTTTAAAAAAGATTTATTTGTTTATGCATACAGAACTGGGGTACAGGCCAGAGGCTCAGGGGCAGTGAGAAGATTCACCAGAGACAGAGTGGGGAGCAGAACAGGCAGATCGACAAAGTACACTGCTGAGGGGAGCAGCGGGCAAGACAGGACAGATCTGCTGGCCATGTGGTCACCTCCGGGGCTGGGGATTGAACTTGCTCTGAAGCCGCTGCTGCTGGCTTGCAGTGCTGCATCCTAACCTGCTGCACCACCAGGGAGGGCCTGTTTTTAATTCTTTTGATTATTTACTAGAAGTGAAGTTATTGGATCAGAGGCTGTTATATTTTCAGTTTTTTGAGGACTCCACATAGAGCTTTCTACAGCAACCAACCCAATTGTTTGTACCCTGCCCAACTCTTTTTTTTTTTTTCAGAGTCCACCTATGGAAAAATGAACTTAGCATTTATTATTTCTTATATGAAGGCCCTATTTCATTTCATGACCCAATAGCCCTATATTAGTGTCAGGCCCACTTGATAAATGAGATGGGCCACATCAGAAAGGGGGCATCTGGGGTTCACACCAGGCAGGCTTGCCCACATACCGGTATTGTGAACACTCCAGATGCCCCCTCTGGATGGTCAAAACTCAGGAACCTAGTGCCCCTGGTGGTATAGAAATGAGGGGTTCAGAGGTGTGCTGAGGATAGCTCTAAAGGACCTTGAGGGCTGATGTTGGAACAGAGTGTGTACAAAGCCAGGACTGAGGACTAAGCAGGAGAAGGCCATGAGGAAAACTGAAGCCAAGCAATTTTGTTTTTGAAAGGGGCAGAAGGGGGGCACAAATCTCGTTCCCTGATCACCTTTCCCCACAGCTGTTTCTAGTAGCTAATTTTGGCCTACCAGAGAGGTCTGTCAAATTCCAGTGACTTGTATATACTTGAGGCCTCCTAAGTTCGAGGCCTCCTAAGTTCGACAATCATGGAGTTGGTTCTCTGGGGGCATATTTTCCCCGAAACATTATGAAACACTTAGCCTTCTCATTGCTAGAGGTTTCCTATGACTTTTCCACTTTCTGTCCAATATTCTAAGTGCTTTTATATAGAGTCCTTCACGACCTAACCAATTCACCAGAGAAAGAGGCGACAGACAGCTTTTACTATTTTCAAATTATGGACTGAAGAATTGAGATCTACAAAAAGAAAAAACACTTTGCAATTTGGAGAGCCATCTGTGATGCTATAAAAGTGTCTCACTGGACTCTTGACCACATAGATCATTATTTTTATTGCCCTCTCCCTAGATGAGATGCGGCTGAGTTTGAAAGAGTTGTTTATAGTTTGGCAAGCTATTAAGTAAAAGAACCTAATTTCAATTCTCCATTCTGGTGAGTGGTAAGAATAGAAGGAATTTAGTTTAGGGGAAGAGGAAATGATGAGAATTGGAAGGAAATGTTACAGCTAAAAATTTTGTTCGGAAGCCTTTTGACTCATCCTTGGATTTAATTTATGAGCGCATGGCTGGGGGTCAGATGAAATGGCCTGCATGCCCCAGCCACCATTATGGCCACGCAGTTAGTAGCACTGGCTGCCACAGCATGCTTGACCCAGGAAGCCCATCACTGGAAAGGCAGCAGTTCTAGGAGTGAACACATCTTTGGGATGTCACACAGTAGAAGGCCCTGTGGAGGAGAAATAAACAGCTCATTTCTTTCATTTTTCTCAATCTTTCTTGTTCCCATCCATTTTTCATTCCATCCCATTTCCTCTTTCTTCCCTTTCATTTCCTCATTTTGGGACAGCTGAGAGGTCATGGTCTTGCTGCCAATGGTTGCAACACTTGTGGTCATCACAGCAGCCACAAAGCCGGGCTTGGACCCTACTGGCAGCCAGGGTGGACTGTCCGATCTTCAGTGGGAAGTGACCCAGAGCTGTGTGCTCGGTCTCCAGCCATCCGAGGATTCTTCATTTTTGATTTTGTCCTTGATGTCTTATGTCAAAGGCACTCTAAAGTTCGAGGATGGAAAGTTTAATTTGTCAAAATTTTCTTTCTAGTTTCCAGTTTTCCGTCTTAGAATGACTTTCCCCAGGCTAAAATCATAGATTTAAGCAGATACATCTTTTGCTAAGTAGAAGTGTGGGTAAGTTGACACCCTAGAAACAGGCTGTCTCATAAAATTTGGAATGTGAGCATATTTTATATATACTTAGACACTTAAATTTTATTCTCTGCAGAAAACTGCCCAAAGTAATCTTTCTTCCAGGCTCCCTGACTTTCCCTCACCCCGGGACCCCCTCCCAGCCGTTTCAAGAACGCTTTATGTTGAGACCAAGTAAATACACAAATTCTGCTTAAACGCCTCTCTTCTCCACTTCGCCTGTCTTTCAACAACCACTTTCCTCCTGAATATGCCCCCAGTGTATGAAAGATCTCATCAGCGTGACAGAAAAGCAAACATTTATAGTGATTCTCCAGATGGAGTCTGTTAAATAATCACCACAAAAGCAAAGTTGGTTTGAAAACATCTTCCCACTCCAATTTCTAGCATTGACCCAGACTAACAGAAGAATTAGCACCAGTAACTTTGGAGGAAGGGATCATCTTACTCTAACACATGATGCTTTTTGGTGAGAATATGATAATAATGGCAGTTACCTGTGGCAATTTGGATTTAGATTTTTGCCTCAAGGTTCAGACTTGGTAAATATGCAGCAGCTTGACAGGGCTGAAGGTTGTCTGCAGTCTTCTGAGTCACCATAAAAGGAAAGGGTTTGAAGTTTTATCATGTGGGTTATCTCTAATTGAAGGCACAGGCTCTTTGCTTAGAACCTTTACTTATTTTTTTTTATTTTATTTTTTTAAAGATTTATTTATTTGTGCATACAGAACTGGGGTACAGGCCAGAGGCTCAGGGGCAGCGAGAGGCTTCACCAGAGACAGACTGGGGAGCAGAACAGGCAGATCAACGAAGTACACTGCTGAGGGGAGCAGCGGGCGGGTCAGGAGAGGTCTGCCGCGCCATGTGGTCACCTCCGGGGCAGGCGGGAATCGAACTCATGCAGAAGTGGCTCCAGCTTCCCAGTGCTGTGCTTTAACCCGCTGTGCCACCAGGGAGGGCCCTACTTACTTTTTTTTAAAGATTTATTTATTTATGTGTACAAGAGCTGGGGCACAGGCCAGAGGTGCAGAGGTGAGGTGTGTGAGAGAGGATCCATTAGAGACAGCGTGGGGAGCAGAACAGGTCGACTGATGAAGTACACTGCTGAGGGGAGCAGAGGGTAGGTCAGAAGTCTGCTGCACCATGTGGGTCACCTCCAGGGTGGGAATCAAACTCACGCTGCAGTGGCTGCCAATAGCTAAGTGCTAAGACTTAACCCCCTGTGCCACCAGGGAGCCCTCTCGTGGAAGTTTTAAATCCCATTTGTCCAAATGGGGTCACAACTGTATCCATTTCAAAGTAACGGGCAGCTGGCTTGACAGTCTTGGTAAACAGAACAATTTTACATGAAACACAAAAGGAAATCACTTTGTTCATTTATATTGGAGTGTCCCTCAAGTAGTCAAGATCCCCCTACTGTAAGGAGCTCTTGAACTTCTGAAATCCCAGCTCCAAGGAATGATGGGGCATGCACAGCCTGTGGCTTGCCAGTGCTCACAAGAGACAAGCCTCTTCTGAACTCGAGATCCATGCTGGAAAATTGGTCTAGAGAACAGGGGAAGGCAAACTTCACACCACTGCTAATGTTTGACTTCTAAATGCTTTGTGTCCTAGTTGGCTCCCGGGGGGCCTTGGCCACCAGATACATGTTGGCCTGGAGGACTGGAAGGACTATGGAGCAGGAGTCCGAGGCACAGCCACTGATAATTTTCTCCTTACCTTTCTGGCTTGAAGCATAAAAGCCGGAAAACTTAAAGCAGAGACCCATCCATGCTGTGGCCTGGGCTCTAGGATGGGCTGGCAACAGGAGTGTGCAGTGGGCATGTGCTCAACTTGCTTCTAACAGAGAGAAAAAGTGCTAGGAAGCCCTGAGGCACTACTTACAAACATGTCTCTTAACTGGGTCACCAGAGGTGTGTGATTGTCCCCTCCTGAAGAGAAGCAATATGAACCTCTTCCTGCCAGTTCCGCCTGTGTCAGACAGAAGTTTTCAGAATGTGAACTTGACACGATGGCAGACAGGAAGCTGTTCTCTTGGATACCTCTCCCACACCTGCCTGTGCCTGGCTTGGCCCTGCAGCGACCTGTGCTCTCCCCACTTACTTCCAGGAGCCTGTGACTAGCCCCCTGAGTCCCCCGGGACCTGTGTCCACACTGTCTCCCTCATCCCTACATTGGCTAGGGGAGCACCCCTGTGGGTGCCCTCTTCCAGGGGCTCCCCTTCTCACATAGTTCAGAAAAAGCAACAAAACAACTCATAGGCAGGCAGGCTGGGCATGTTCCCTTTGAAAGACTATTCTTGAAACGTCCATGTTTCCAAAGCATTTTCTGCTGAATATTTTTTAATCACTGTTACAGGGAAAACCCCCAAACCATGGTGTGGGTTTTAGGGAGCCTCAGGTTATGAGGCCTCCTTCTTCATGCTTCTTTTCCAAAGTGGGGGAAGAAACAGGATCCAGGCAGGTAGTAGGTGAACAATACCCAGAGGTGTAATAAATACCCAGAGAGTGAGTCCCGTGGTCCTGGAGGAGAAATGAAAGTGGTTAAAAACTACCCTTGAGTTCACTTTTTAAAAGCTCATTATTTACTTTTAAAATAGTTGGAAACTACCCTTGAATTTACATTTTAAAAGCTCATTATTTATGTCTTAAGTACTATTTGTACAGGAATAGTACCCAAGGACAGAAACACACTGACTGTCCTTTTTCTGGCTAGCTGCCCGGCAGTGAGGGTAAATGCCAGCCTCTCTAGCACGGAACTGTAAGCTGCCTGATGGACTCACAAGCCAGAAAACACAAAATGCAGCTTCCTGAAGCCCATGCATTCATCAGGATGGTGAATATGAAACAGACATTCGCTCATTAGGAGGCCCCGAGCCTTTGCAGATGCTGGGTGCGGGGCGTGGGCAGTGCCAGTGATGCAAGTTAGTGCGGGCTAGACACTTTGCCAGGCTCTGGGGGTCTGTCTCGGTCGTGGCACACATGTTGGGACCTCCATCGAGGCTGGGTGGAGGCCAGGGCAGCACACAGTGGCTGTGGGTTGGGCGAGACAAGAGAAAACTCGGGCTGGGGCCTTGGCGCTCAGGAAACAGAGCGTTGGTCACAGCGGGTGTGCTTGAGAAATGTGAGTTGGCAAGCAGAGTCCTCTCTAACTCAGGGCCTGGACTCCCTGAAGAAGCAGAGTGGTGTCAGCAGAGAGGGGCCAGGCAAGCCAAATGCCAGTGAAATTCAGCAGGTTCTCATGGCCAAGGCTCTCAAGGCCAAGGTCACGGGGTGTGAAAGACCCTGTTCCGCACAGCACTGTATTCCTGAACCCACTCAGCATGAGACTTCCCGGATGTCTTTTAAATGGTGCAGTCAACAAGATTCTTTCGGAAAAATCTGTCTTGTAAGGCCTTCTCCTGTTCCCTGCTCTTGCTTCTCAACAGAGCATGAAATTGTAGTTGAACTTGTATAGCAGGACAGCATTTGCTAGAGGGGATGTTGATAGTCTGTTACTGTAATATCCTTGAGAATCTAGATCCTTGATGCCACCCTGTCACTAACATCCCACAAACCTTCAGAAGGAGCGAGCTGGATTCCATTGCTCAGGCCATGGAGCTTCCTACCGGATGTCCTGTGACTGTCCCTTCTACTCCCAAGCTGTGGGTCCCCTTCCAAATTGCCCAGTCCTGATTCATTGCATCTGGCTACCACAGCACCCTGCCATGGCAGTGGGCCCAGGAGACTCTGCATTCTTTCTCTCTCTCTCATTCTGTTGCAGATGTTGAAGTCTGGACTCTCAAGCCCGCTTTCCTGCTGTCCTTTGCAATTCTCTGATGTGGTCTCTTATTTGGTGGGCATCTGAGCACTTGGGGAACAGTGGCTTTAACTCTTCTGGTAATTTTGTTCCTCAGCGTTGATGGACCAAACTCTTTCATGGTGTTAGAGGGAAATTCACATTCTCATTCAACACTGTGATTGCCTGTGTGGAGGTGATTAGCACAAGAAATGACCACTGTTCTGGCTTATAGGATAAAGGAGAGAGATGAGGATGGACAAGAGCAATGGCATAGAGCCACAGATTCGCAAAGGTGCATTAACTGGAGGTCACACACTGTATTCTCAAAGCTTGGGCCTGTCACTTTCATTAAAGTAGCCTAGAATCCACGCTTAACTTCACTGAGCCTCATTTGGCTCATCTATAAAAATAATGGGTTGCCATAAAATTTTACCATGAAGTGGACAGCAAGTCAGTGAACATAGTGGGGTCACTGCAAAGTGACTGCTCTCCATTTGCTTAGCTTTTCAGTTAGTTGAAGTCCTAGAACTGTGGTAATATTGGGTCCACTCAGCCAGTCTATAGGCAAAAGATAAGTGGTTTCTCAAATAAGTGTGGAGTCCACTACCTGTGTTTAATTTTCTCATTTTGTATGAAATTTTAAAAAGCAGCTCTTGTTTGTGGCAGAATTTTGTCTTTAAACTGCGTTTGAAAATGCTCATTGGGTTAAAAGTAAATGAATTAAAAATATAAAATGCTGTTTGTAACATGGAAATGAGCAAATATGTTTTCAAAAAAATGCATGCCTTTTTGGTTTGAGAAGAATAAAACTGGAAATTTGGTCCATATGACTTATTTTTTCAGAAATGTGAACTTCTGGAGTGAAGTAAAGATGGGAAAGAAAGGGCTGTCTCTCTGGGGATGGCCTTAGCTCCTGTGATCACCTTGAAGGGACATCCTAAAGTGCTCTTCAGGGTTATTCTGGATTTTCTTTTCCTATTTTTTTCTCCTAATATGAAGCACCAATGCCAGTCTATCTCCTTTTCCCAGACACTAAGCACATACTGCAAACAGTTTGCCCCGCTCTTTATCTGTCTTCATAGCAAAGTCTTTGTCTTGGTGAACTTGAGCTGCTGTAACAAAATACCAGAAACTGGAGGGTTTGTAGACAACAGAAATCTATTCCTTATAATTCTGGAGATTAGAAATTCAAAATCAAGGTGCCAACACAGTCCAGTCTGGCGAGCACCCTCTTCTGGGTGATGCAAACCAACTTCTCTAGTGTCTTCGCCGGGCAAGAGTGGAAAGCAGAGCCAGCTTCCAGGGACCAGGACACTATGAGACCTCGTCTCATTTTACTCTTTCTAATGCCATCCACACAGGCAGGAAGAGGGTTCCAACCTATGAATTGTAAGGGACAGAAACAGCCAATTCGTCCATCTCCTGTTATCTATAGTTGCTGTCTTGAATTCCTCTCCTGTGTGAGGTTCAGGAAGAGTTCTATGCACTGAGGGACTGCATATTCTTTAAGATTTATTTTTACTTATGTATGCATACAAGAACTGGAGTATAGGCTAGAGGTGGGGTGGCGGTGGGGTTTGGTGAGGGGATTCACCAGAGACAGAGTGGGGGGCAGAACAGGCAGAAAAGTAGACTGCTGAGGGGAGCAGCGGGTGGGTCAGGAGAGGTCTGCTGCACCAGGTGGGTCAGCTCCCTGGTCGGCTATGGAACCCAGGCTGCAGTGGCTTCCAGTAGTTTGACAGTGCTGAGGCTTTACCCTGTATCACCAGGGAGGCTCTGAGTTTTTTCATATTCAAAACTCATTTGCTATGTCCTTAATACTTAAACAGATTGCCTGGCTGTAAAACTCCTGGTTTGTATTTTCCTAGGTTTCCTGCAAATACTTCTCCACTCTTATTTTGCTTTATTATTTTTTGAACGATCTGATACCAGTCTAACCTCCTTGTTTCAAACAAATTCTTGGTTTTCTCAGGAGAAATTTTTTTTCAATCCAAGTTATTTTACTAGAATATCTCTGAGATGATCATTCCAGGTCGATTTTACCAAGTGAACCCTTTCACTGTGTAGAGTCAGTTCATGATTCACTTCTGGAACATTTTCTTCCTCTGCAATTATCAATGATCTGTTCCATCACTTTGAAATTCCTGCTCAGGAACTCCAAACTGATATGCTTTGCTGGTCTTCCACTTCATTTACTGTTCTCCAGCCCTTTTAAATTCTTTCTTTAACTCATTTTTACTCCCTGCTTTTCGTCAGTCTTTCATTAAATCTCTTTTTAAATTTATTCTTCCTTGGACTTTGTAAGTTAGTTTTCATTTCTGTTGGGATTTTTTTTTTCCTTTCTTTTTGTATTGCTCCTAAGTTCAAAAACTAGGTTGCATTTCTTCCTCCTTCTTTTTTGATTCACTTGTACTCTAGTGATTCCAAATGTTTTTCTTTTCAGTATAGCTCTAAATTCTCCCTGGAAGATATTTTTATTGGAGTATTTGCTACAATTTTCCAGTTTCTTTTTCTTTCTTTCTTTTTTGTTTTTTTGGAGGAGGGATGAGATTATGTTCTACAGTTGATAACGTTGATTCACATGTTTTCAATAATAATAATTTTGTTTAAATATGCTCCCTTTCCCTAAACTAAAAGGCTCCATTTTTTTTTTCAGGCTTATTAGTCTGATCTTTTCATTTCTTTCTTTGTTTTATTTACTATGTAGCTCTTATCTATAAGTTACAAGAAATCATTGAAATGGTTCTATCATCAAAGAAATTATGTGATCTTCATCTACTGTTTAATACTTCACTTCTAGCATGAGAAATTTCCTCTTCAAGGGATCTCCTACTATGTTTTTAATTATTTAGACTTGCCTGGGCTGGGCTATTGTCTTGATGGAAGGGTCACTGTTGTTTTTTTATTTATTTTAGATTTTTATTTTATTTATGCATATAGAATTGGGGTATAAGCCAGAGGTGCAGGGGTGGTGAGAGGATTCACCAGAGACAGAG